CAGGGAAACAGCACTGACTGGCCCAGGACCAGAGCTGGGCTCCAAAAGCATCGACTGGACTCGCTTAGATCCCAAGCATCACAAGCTGCTGTGAGCAGAGATGAGGACACAGCAGAGGCACAGGGAAGCCCTCGGAATGGTCAGAGATGAGGACACAGCAGAGGCACAGGAAAGCCCTCGGAATGGTCAGAGATGAGGACACAGCAGAGGCACAGGGAAGCCCTCGGAATGGTCAGAGATGAGGACACAGCAGAGGCACAGGAAAGCCCTCGGAATGGTCAGAGATGAGGACACAGCAGAGGCACAGGGAAGCCCTCGGAATGGTCAGAGATGAGGACACAGCAGAGGCACAGGGAAGCCCTCGGAATGGTCAGCCACCCTTCCCGCACTCCTTCCCCGAGATGAGGACACAGCAGAGGCACAGGGAAGCCCTCGGAATGGTCAGAGATGAGGACACAGCAGAGGCACAGGGAAGCCCTCGGAATGGACAGAGATGAAGACACAGCAGAGGCACAGGGAAGCCCTCGGAATGGTCAGCCACCCTTCCCGCACTCCTTCCCCGAGATGAGGACACAGCAGAGGCACAGGGAAGCCCTCGGAATGGTCAGAGATGAGGACACAGCAGAGGCACAGGGAAGCCCTCGGAATGGACAGAGATGAGGACACAGCAGAGGCACAGGGAAGCCCTCGGAATGGTCAGCCACCCTTCCCGCACTCCTTCCCCGAGATGAGGACACAGCAGAGGCACAGGGAAGCCCTCGGAATGGTCAGAGATGAGGACACAGCAGAGGCACAGGGAAGCCCTCGGAATGGTCAGCCACCCTTCCCGCACTCCTTCCCCGAGGGCTCAACCTTGCCCTGCCTGCTCCCCCACCTTCCCACAAGCACTTCCCTAATAAATTGCTTGTGTGCTGAATTCTGTCTTGGCTCTTGCTTCTCAGGTGGCCAAACATAACACAGCTGGGGTAATAAACTTATACTTTCTGATACCAGCAACCTTCAAACGGGTCTCAGAAAACTGGCATTTTTTTAAAAAAATGTATAAAACAGACCACAGGTTTGAAGTTTTTCCTTCTCCATTCCATTCTTCTTATCTTCAAAGGGACACTAATAATAGAAAAGCAGGCTTTTAAATAGCCATACAAATGTATCACTCTCCTAATATTAAAGCCTTTTTTTTTAGTTATAAATTCACCCAGTTCCAACGAGAAGACAGACAATACTAAATAGTTTCTTGGACTTAGTTATTTATGTGTCCATCTGTCTGACTGCACCATGAGCTTCTGGAGGGAAGCACCTCTTCCATTCAGGCTTTAACAAGTCCTACATCACTAGTACAGGGACTCAGTAGATAGCTGCTGATGGAGGAAAGACATGAAATCAGAAAATTCAAAAATGGGTCAGAGATCAGGTTAGCCAGGATTCCCAGACATATGGAAAAAAAATATATACACGCCTTCTGCTTTCATGTATGAACTCTGGGGAATAAACTTCATGTTTCCCTTTATAAACTACAGGAAGCTGAAGAATAAGGAACAGATTAGATAAGAAACACTACAGGTAATCCTAACGTGCCCAAGAGCTCTGAGCCAGTGATACTAACAGCCCAAACCAACTGCCTGCCTATACGGAGCATCCAAAACAGTCTGGAAGAGGGAGAGTGGGTTGTAGGAAATTGTGCAGACAGACAGACACGTGTGGATTATGCATTAATTACAGGTCACATTTAATGACAGACATACAGACTTCTCCATTCTAATACACTTCACCACACTCCAGATTTACTCAAACATCAGCAGATATTTCTGACAGCTGTAATTATCTCTCTTTTAGGAAGCAGAAAGAAAAATCTTGTTCCTTTTAACCATGTGACTGAAAGTTTCCTACCACAAAGTATCAATCTACTTGGTCAAAAGTGAGCATTTACTAAATAACTTAATGACGGTAAACAAACAAAAGAAAATGTTTGGGAATTACATTCTTCTGCAGAACTTGATTCTTTCAAGACTATTTGATTAAAAAAGCAATTTGTTTCGCCAAGTGTTAGCATGTTTAGGATGATTACATTTTTGCTGCAACAATGAAAACAAGTGTATTCGTGCAGACCCCACACTATGACACTTTAAATAGCACTTCTCATAGCAGATTAATTCATCGAAATTACACCTTGTCAGTAGGGAATTTTTCTCTACATATCGATGATTTAAAACCCAATTAACTTTCTCCCTACTGTTTAAGAGCTCACGACAATGCTGGCTTGTGCAGTGTGCTTCTGCGTACGTCTAATGGCTGCAAAGAGTGTAACACTCTGGAGACCTGCACTAGAAAACAGAAAAGCAGAAGTATTTTCTTCCCCCCTTTTCCAGACGGCACTAGAGGTGGAATGAAGCTGAAGAACAAATGCGCAGGGCTGGGATGTGCTTCCGTTGGTAGTGTGCTTACCTAGCACACACAAAGCCTGGGGTTCTGTTCCCAGCATGGTGGCACATACCTACAGTTTGTGCTTAGGAAGGGAAGGCATCACACTTAGCTATAGGGTGAGTTTTAGGCTAGTCTGGGCTACATGAGACCTTGTGCAAAACCGAAGTAAAGATACACTCTACAACAACCTGGGAATATAAAGTAATTAATTCCAGGTCTTTTACTACATATGGAAGATTCCATGGGCAATGGTGTGTAAGGTGGGTCCTACAGAACTCCAAGTCAACCCCGAACTTTAGACAGACTTGGGAAGCACATAAATCCACAGTTCTTCTCCTTTCAAGTTGCTAACATGTCATTTATCAAATGAGTCAGCCAAGCATACATATGAATCAACATGTCTACCTGCTTCAGGGCCTATAAAACATTTCACAATGAAGCCACAGTGAAAACTAATCCTTAATAACTTAATTAAGTATTTTATATAAAAATCATAGAAAAGCAAATAATAACAAATAGTTGAACAGACGGAAGAGATATACGAAATTGGCAATTAGAGGTTAAACAAAGAGGCCTATAATTTTAAAAAGCCTGGTGATGTGGCAGCCGGATAGGGTAACATGTAATTTCCTAGAGAAGATATGCCCTCTAATACAGAAAACAATGGAAATGTTAATTACAAACGTGAGCAGGTGGGAAGGGCCAGTCATTCCCAGCCCCCAGGTACGATTTTCCCCATGAGCTGTCAGAAAGCATGTGAATAAATGCAGGACTTCTCAAGCAACTGCTTGCCAAGTTTCATGATAATCATTTCCGACATCAAAATGGGGTACACGTGTTAATAATAAGCAACCTGCCATGCAGAGCGAGTACTCCCAATTCCTTCCTCACCTGACATGTGCTCACAGACCCTCCCTAGTGCCCACTAGGCATTGTTCTAGTCCAGGGACAGAGGATGAGCAAAATGGTCTCCAAGTCCTGAAGCTGGGGTGTGTGTGTGTGTGTGTGTGTGTGCGTGTATGAGTGTGTGTGTGCGTTTGTGTGTGTGTGTGCGTGCACATGCGCTGGGTACAGAATCAGGAACAGAAGTAACAGGGTGTGTGTGTTCTGGATACAGAATCAGAAAGAGGAATGACAGGTGGTGTGGGAGGGCCTTCTGTCTATGTGTTACTTTCATTGGTTAATGAATAAAGAAAACTGCCTTGGCCTGTTGATAGGACAGAACTTAGGTAGGCGGGGAAAGCTGGACTGAATGTTGGGAGAAGGAAGGCGGAGAGAAAGAAGCCATGGAGTCGCCAGAGTCAGACATGCCAAAACTTTGCCGGTAAGCCACTGCCTCGTGGTAATGTACAGATTAATAGAAATGGGTTAAACTAAGATGTAAGAGTTAGCTCATAAGAAGTTAGCGCTAATGGGCCAAGCAGTGATTTAATTAATACAGTTTCTATGTGGTTATTTCAGGACTAAGCTAGCCGGGGGCGGCCAGGATGAACAAGTGGGCTGTGTTCTACTCTGCTTCCATTCTGCCATAAGAATACCCTTCAGACCACTAGGTAGGAGTGGAGAGAAACTGAAAGAAAAGGAAGAGGGGAAGGAAGAGAACTGGGAGAGAAATTGCAGGCTGGAAGGTGTGAGAGAACAAAGTTGAACAAGAATTATAACATGACAAACTCTCTCCACCATGTTTAGTGTTACTCTATCCTGCATGTGCATGTGTGTGCATGTGATGTGCATGTGTGCGCGTGTGTGCGCGTGTGTGTGCATGTGTGTGCGTGAGTGCATGTGATGTGCAGGTGTGTGCATGTGTGCATGTGTGTCCCACCCAGTGCATTGTGTGCATGTGTGTGCATGTGTGTGCATGTGTGTCCCACCCAGTGCATGTGATGTGCACCTCAGAATACAAGCTGCATGCTGGCCTCACTTTGTTCTCTGCTGTTCAGTGACACGCACACCATGCTAGCTGCCCATGAACTTCTGGCAACCCTCAACTACACTGCAGAAGAGCTGGGCTTAAATAAGTGTCTGAGATGGCACCCGACTGCACGTTCTGCGGATGGAAATTCGGGTCCTCATGTTTTCAGGGCAAGCTCTACTCACTGAGCCATTTCCCTTGCCGAGATAAATCTTACAAAAGACATACATGACATCAGCTAGACACCACTGAACATCCTGATACACTGAAGACTGTAGGTCACCGACGGCCTGTGTCACTGTCACCTTCTTTTAAGAAGCTGTTGGAATTGTTAAACTCTCCTCTCGCAGTCCACACACAGAGGCAAATTGTAGCTTACAGACATGATTTGGCAGCCCCTCCCCTGGGATCTATGCATACTTGCCTCCGAGTGTCACCAATTTTACACAGTATGCGTCATTCTGTTAATGCTTCTGCAGTTACTTCTGTCCTTTTCTATGGCTACAACAGTTTCAACTATGGCAGCATCAATGCCAGCTCTACTTCCCAGAAGAGACCGACAACCTGAGAGACAACTCTTGCCAAGCATACACCCTGTGGAACAAGATGGAGCCGGCCTCTCCACCCATTTCCTGCAGCAGCAGTGAACCATGTGAGATGTTCCTACCTTGCAGGAGGGACGTCGATATTAGAGGAAACCACTTTCCGCTTCTGCTCAAGGAGACAAATGGATCGAGTGTTTTCTTTTTCTTGGTCAAGGATCCGGTTGGCTTTTTTGGTGTCGGCTGCTTTCACGTCTTCCTCCATGGCCAGTGGGAACAAGTGGTGAGAAGTCTTCTTGCTGGACTCGCGTCGTAAGTCCTCTGGTTGAAATGTGAAGGTCATTTCTCTCTTAAAACTCCCCACCTGCAAAACACAACAGAGAGAAGAAATCTTACACAGCTCTGCCAGGCTGTGGTGAGGAAGTCTACACGCTCTTCTCTTTGCGCTAGTTTGTGGTTTAGCTGGGGGAAACGCAACCCAGAAGTAAGCAACTAGCAATACAACTAGAAATAAACAACTAGCTTGGGGCTAGCCTGGTCTACATGGAGCATACCAGGACACCCAGGGCTACACAGAAAGATTCTGTCCCAAAACAACAGCAACAAAGTGTCACGAACTCAAGAAACGCCTTCCTTTCAGGAGATGAAAGCACTGGCTCTCTATGCCGTTTGTACTCAAAGCCATTATCGTGCGTAATAGAAGACGGCTAGTATGCACACGCAAACTGTCTTTGACTATTAATACTGACCTTAGCTTCCATGAACAAGGTGTAAGACAAATATGAAACCAAAACTCAGTGAATTAAGTCCCACTGTTTCCAATTTTGGAACCACTGGGAAAAAAGTAAACTAAAAAAGTTTTTATAAGTTGCCATTCACAAACCAAGTCAGCAGCAAATTGATTCAAGTCTTGAGTAGAGCAAGAAGAGCCTGACTCTCCGGCAATCAGGAATCTCTCCGTTCGCCAAGAGGGCATTTCACAGACACACAAACCAAGCCAGCCTCCCTGTGAGCTCAGGGAGTCTACCCAGCCCTGCTTACCACAGCCCAGCTAAGCTTGCTTGTTTCTATTAAGTTTAGATAAAAGACCTGAGTCAAGCAGAACTGAAAGCCATAAGCAACGTACATAGTAACATGAACATGTGTGTAAGAACAGCAAGAGTCTCTAGAGTTAATCAATCACTACACATTCCGAGACCAAACAAAAACTCAGGTACGTGTGTGCGGACCTGTGATTATCCAGACAGGTAAGTACAGGACTTATCCAGATAAGGTCATGTCCAGAATTCACGTGAACGCCCAGAGCTCCAAGGCGTTTTGACCTCCCTTAGCCTTCCAGAGATAGAGAGTGGAGATCAACTTCTAGCGGGCTGAAAGGCAAATCAACACCCAGCTCCGCAGGAAAAGGCCAGCCACTTTTGGTCTACTTGCCACTCATTAGGAGGTCACCATAGATTTCAGAATGACTTAGTGAAGTAAAGCAAGCGTCCTAGAAAACTGGGTGTCTGTTCTCAAGCAGTAACTGTTGATACTCACATGCAGCAAGTGAGCAGAGATCAGGGAGCCTGCAGCAGTCGGGCCTAGGTCCTCTGCACATATGCTATGGCTGAGTAGCTTGTGTTCTTATGGGATGCCTAACGGCGAAGGTGAGGGTGGCCACTGACTTTTGTCTACTCATGGGACCCTTTTCCTCCTACTAGGTTGCCTCGTCCAGCCTTGACGTGATGGTATATGCCTGATCATAGAGTAATATAACATATTATGCCATGTTTGGTTGATATCCCTGGGAGGCCTGCTTTTTTTCTGAGGGGAGACAAAAAGAGGGTGATTCTGGGGGAGAAGGCAGATTGGGGGGTGAGAAACTGGAGGGAGGGAAACTATGGTTGGAATGTAATACATGAGAGAAGAATTTAAAAATTATAGTTGAGCCGGGCGATGGTGGCGCACGCCTTTAATCCCAGCACTCGGGAGGCAGAGGCAGGCGGATCTCTGTGAGTTCGAGACCAGCCTGGTCTTCAGAGCTAGTTCCAGGACAGGCTCCATGGCCACAGAGAAACCCTGTCTCAAAAAAAAAAAAATTATAGTTGAGAAAGTAAATGAGCTACAAAGATTCTAAATGTCACTAATCAATATTCTACATAAATCTTTCTGCCTTGACAGGGTGGGTGATAGGAAGGTGGTATTTTGCTTCTGTAGTGGCCTGTTCCCAGCTTGTGTTGCCACAGGAGACTTTAGAGTACAGTAAACAAAAAAGAAATAGAGGCCTTGGTGTGCATGATTACCAACAGTGTCTCCTGAAAGCCAGGTACCACACGGACTGAATGGGAATGGTGTTCCAAGTCAACAGTCTTCAGCTGAACCAGGATAAGCCATGCCTCCCCTGGGGTCAGCTGAGCTGACGAACCAGCTCCCAGGGAAGCTCTAGCAGTGGAAGACTGAAGACATGTGGCTTTTTGCCTCACAAGTTTAGAGAAATATCTGAGGCATATAAATACAAGTAGAATGAATTTCCCACAGCAATGATGTAATAACCATAAGCTATGCTCTTGGCCAAGAATACATAGGAAAACAGAGAGCAATAATATTCTACAATGCAGGCTATCAGTCTAAAATGCTTCCTGAACAAAAACTCTCGTAGTAAGCACAAATTCCAGAAACAGAATGAATTCCACAGGCAACTAATCCCAAAGTCCTTGTTTAAAAAATTATTAAAAATGATCAAAAGACCAAAAATAACTACAAAAGTAAGAGGTGTTAAACCACTAATAGGAAGAGACACTGCTGTGCTAGCTACTGCAACTGACCACTGAGCAATGGACACCTGTCTGGGGCTGGAGTGGGAGCGAGGGACCCTCACGAAGAGGTGGGACTGCTTGACAAACAGACCACAGTAATGTCTGCTCGGCGATAAATTCATTAAAACCCACTGGCCTGCATTCTACAATGGGATCAATGCTATGATCAAACTGATTTGAAGGAGCCACAGAGGACAACCAAACTGGCAGTGGTGTAGAGGGGTTACACCCCAGAACCCCTAGACCCGAAGTTTGGAACTTGTGAGGCAAAGTGTAGCCATAACATACAGGAGTCTGTTGTTACATATACTTTTAAACCCTGCTACAAGCAGCAGCATGGTTATACCCCATGATGTCTAAAATCTAGTCCCCATTCAAACTAGGGCCTCTAAGCTTCCTCATCTGGGCAAGGCCATTTTCTGATTCATTCACCTGGAAAGAAGCTTTTTGTACTTCATCTGCTCAAACATACATTCCCCCTGTGTTTTCACAGCTCCTGTGTTCCTGGGGCTCTAAGGTGACTTGGAAATACAAAGCCAGTATTCTCTCAATGGAAATGATACCATCTGAGAAGTCACTCTAGGCTATGGCTCTAAACAGGCAAATAATGACAATGACAGCCAGAAACAACAGTAACAACAAAATCTGAGTGGAGAGAAGCCAGCAGTAGCAAAAGGAGGAGAATCAGCAGAGTTCAGCAGCAAAAGGCGGCTGGGGCTGGGGGGAGAGAGGGAGGGTCAGCCAAGGAAGGGTGGGTAGAGGCTCTGAAGTATCTGTAGGAGGAGCTGTGGGCTTGCTTTTCATCCTGCCCAGCTCCCACCACCGGCTAGCTTTACCCGAAATAATAACACACAAATTGTATTCTTTTAAACACTGCTTGGCCCATTATATCTAGCCTCTTCTCGGCTAACTCTCGCACCTGGACTAGCCCATTTCTAATAATGTGTGTAGCACCCCAAGGTGCTCTTACCGGGAAAGATTCAGCATGTTTGACCTGGCGGCTTGCTTCATTGCATCTGCCCCTGAGAGGAGCTGCATGATTTCTGAGCTCACTTCCTCTTCCTCCCAGCATTTTGTTCTGTTTATTCCACCCACCTATGTTCTAACCAATCAGGGCCAAGGCAGTTTCTTTATTTAACCAATGACCTTCCTCCATCATTTCCCCTTTTTCTGTTTAAACAAAAAGGAAGGAAGGCTTTAACTTTAACATAGAAAAATTACATATAACAAAACAGTTATCAAGTAAGAATTATAGTTACAATATTTATATCTACTTTATCTTTTCTCATAACACAGGAAAACTATAACTATAACTATCTATCTATTCTTCAACTCCATCAAAGACTCCAGAAGGATATACTATTACCTAAGTAAATAAGAAGTAAGCAACTTACAAAACTCTAGAAATCACAGAGAATCTCGCTGCCTGGACAGTCACCCAAAGTTCCTCTGTACCATTGGGGCATCCATCTTCGGCCTACAGGCCCATAGTTTCCAGGCAGACATTTCAATGAAGCAGGAAATTTCAAAGGCAGTTCAGTCACTATCTGCTGTGTCCTGCAGAATGTCTCGCAGACTCTTTCATGAATCAGGAACCCCGAAAGATCATCTCACCTTTAGGCAAGTTCAGCAGTCCTCTCTCTGCGGGTTCTCTGTGTCCAGTTTATGCATCAGTCCAGGCAAGAACAGTTTCTTGCCCAAATGGCTATCAAACTCCACAAGGGACTACAAATGGGTAGACACAACAGTTGCTTCCAGAGGGTTAGGTCGCAGGATTCAGGTGATGTGGTCCCTCAAAAACAGATGCCTGCTTATCTTGCTGGAGCCTGAGGCAGTTCTGAAGCCTCCTAGTTCATCACCATCACCATATCTTTATATAATTACAGGAAATACCTTAAACACTCATCCAGGGAAACCTATAATTAGCTGAATTTTTAAGGTTTTTTTTTTCCCCTTTCCCTTTCAGCATGTTAAAGACTAGAGGGCAAGGAAGGTGTTATACGTGAGGACGGGCAACACAGGCCATAATCTGATTCCCTACACTAACACATTCCTGCAGCAGAAACCTGAGAGATGGGCAAGAATTTCCTCAGTAAGAGAATCACTGACCCACAAACATAGTTTTAAGAAGCATTTGGGGATGAAGGGAGAAGCATACAGGTAAAGCTCCCAGGCTGGAAACCTGGAATACGGTAACGGTGAGGAAACAGCAAGATGGAGGGAGTAATTCTAAGGGAAAATACAGAGCAGAGGTTTTGGAACTTCTGTCATGTAGATGTAGTGTTCCCTAGAAAGGGCTGTTGCAGCCGGAAGTGGTGGCACACGCCTTTAATCCCAGCACTCGGGAGGCAGATGCAGGTGGATCTCTGAGTTCGAGGCCAGCCTGGTCTACAAGAGCTAGTTCCAGGACAGGAACCAAAAGCCACGGAGAAACCCTGTCTCGAAAATTGAAAGAAAAAAAAAAGAAAAGAAAAGAAAAGAAAAAGAAAGGGCTGTTGCATGTGGAGGGTAACAGACTGGGCATCCCTAGCCCAGAAATCCAAGCCCTCGCCAAAATGTTCCAGTTCTC